TTATTATTATTATTATTATTATTATTATTATTATTATTATTATTATTGAGTGAGAGATGATTGGAAACTATAGCTTGACCACATAGATATAAAAGAAACAAAATCGCGACAGCAAAAAAATTGCTGAAATATTGAGTAGTTGTAACACATCACTCAAAAAGTCACAAAATTTGAGTTTTTGGCTTTAGCTCGTATTCCTTGCCTCTATTCCTTACTGCGTTGTTCGTAAAAACAATATCTTGTATGAGATAAAACAATGCCGAAAGAATAATAAATGTCATTTTTGACATTTTTAGACAAAGATAATATGGTGTTTTTTGAGAAAATGTATGATTCCAGATTTTCACTGAAAAGCCGTCTCGGTAAGCCAATACAATTGATGTCAGAATCCAATGACTTGGAATACGAATCGCTTTCTTATTTCTGGTGTAGCTTGGTGGAACTTATACCTGCCTCCTGGGTGGAAAAACACTTTAAAAATAATGACTCCTTCTTCGAATAAAGCCATAAAACGGAGAACTAAGGTGTATTTTGGGGCCTTGATGGTCCTTCAAGTGCTATAATTTCTGACTCAGTGAACGGATTTGGCTCAAATTTCGCCAGTAGTCCTTTGAAGGATGGCACGTTCAAAAATAGAAAGGATTTTGTTCTAGTGTCGCCCTCTATATGTCAGACCGCGGACTTATTGAGTGATGTGTTGTAAGTAAAGAGAACAATACACGAAATCAACTTTTCATCAATCACAATTGCATCATTGGTACAACGTATGTTGTCGATATGACATTATGGAAAACGGACAAATCTTGGATTCTTGGATTTAAACAGTGACCTATGGAACGGCAGTCAGGTTTCAACGCATGACGACCGTGTTTCTCTGTAGTCTCAATCGGCTGCCAAGGGCTGTGTAATGCAGACATTGTCCGCTTTTATCATGACCCGGGCTCCACTCTCGCTCATAAACCTGGCACGGAAGAAACATCGCGAAGAATTGCTACTGGGCCAAAAGCATTATGTACTCAATACTGCAAATCGTCACGAATACGAACGAACACGAATATATGTACGAACGAATGCGAACAAACATGCCGTCTCCCTCAGCGAACACGAACGAAAATGAATCAGAAAATTCTTTCTTCGAAAATGTCTTTCAATATTATACAAGGAACTGTGTATACTTCAAGATATTCAAATCAATAGTGATTTCAACGGAAATGGTGCGGTCGTTGCTCTTAGACTATATACAAATTCACTTTTTTGCATTTTCATTTTCGTTTTATATTTTCATTATTACGATTATTTGGTGATTATTTTGTTTTGATTATTTCCATTCTCTCCAGTTATCATAAGGGAACACAATTGTTTTTAAAAAATCATTCCGAATTATTCTGGGTTGCTTTGGTTGTACTCTTTGTAACAATGATTGCAATGGCATGCTGCGAGACCGTACGACGAACTTCGCCAACCAACTTTATCTTCTTGGGACTGTTCACTTTGGCTCAATCGTTTATGTTGGGAACTATGACCTCACATGTGGATCATAAAACTGTAATGTTGGCAGTTGGTACAACAGGAGTCATATGTTTTGCACTAACACTTTTTGCGTTACAAACTAAATTTGATTTTACTGTTTGTAATGGGGTACTTTTCGTTGCAATGATCCTCTTCATGGTTTTCGGAATTGTCACTATATTTTGGAAGGGACCGATAATCAATCTCGTTTATGCATCAGTTGGTGCGCTGCTTTTTAGCATTTATTTGGTATACGAGTATGTATGATTGAATTAAATACTAGATAATTTAGTTATTATTTATAATATTCACTTTTTTAAATTTATAGTACACAATTGATGATGGGTGGAAATCACAAATATTCAATTAGTCCAGAGGAGTATATATTTGCAGCATTGAATCTTTACATGGATATCGTCAATATTTTCATTTATATTCTCACAATAATCTCGGCCGCAAGAGACGATTAATTTAAAAATGTATGAAGAAGTCTCATAAGTATTTTGAAATATAAACCAAAAAAAGCATCATGCAAAACCAAACTAGCTTCATTAATATCACTTATTAAAGCTGAAGCCTAATAAAATTTTCAAAAATGAAATGTTAAAAGATAAAATATAAAAAGAATCAGAAAATTTCACCGAATAAAAATATTTTGAAATTAAAATACAATTTTATTATTGAAGTAAACATTTCACTTAGTGGAACAATCTTTTCTGTTTGAAGAACTCTTTAACACGAGAGCGTATATCGTGTCCGATAATTGGGCATTACGATTTTGTATGGAAATGTACCAGATATCGGACATTAAAAAAAACGTCAAATCAAACGCTTTAAAAAAATTCAACTCGATAAATTGTAATATTTTTCGAAAAATTCAGAATCATCGCTTCAAAAATATATAATTACTACTACATAAAAAATTGAAATAATTTAAATAAAATCTATTTGAATGTTCACTTGAACTGATCTACCTGTCCGATAAATGGGCAAATACTATAAATAAGACACTTTTTTCTGCCCAGTTCTCGGACAGGTAAAAAATATTTTCGCATTCACACTAATGCGTATAGTTTGAAATATTTTTCTACAAACTTGCATTGAGCAACCCATGTGACTGACGTTCGTTTTTAAGCGCAAATGACAGAAAAAATTTAATGATGTTGAAATTAAAGATAAAAAAAGATGTTCTGCTTCCGAGTTCGTCAATAAATTTGAATATATATAGCAAGTAGCTTTGAAAATAGTGCAATTTTACAAAACAATCTTTGCTAAATTTGATCAAATTCTATTATATTTGAATAAATTTTATGGTTTAGCTGTTTTTTTCCTCTCTGCATTCAATGAATATTGCCACAGTTCAAGAAACAACGAGATCGACTGGTTGGTACGCTTGAAGACGACAGGGCCGACGATCGTGAGCGCATCGAACGAGAGTGTGAGAACCATGTTCAGCCGAGCAGTAGGACGAATGATTTTGAAACGTACGCCGACCATACGTTAAGATTTTTCAATCGGGCCATGGATGTGTACGGCAGCGAAGCGTATGTACTGACTAATTTTTTGCATTGGATTGAAATCCATCGAACGATTGGTGAATTGGTGCGAATGATTGTCGCACAAGGGCATGGTAATCATACATTTGTGTTTGTCGGCAAGGCGCCGTTCACCCATGCAAATTCACCATGCAAAGGTTATGTACGTACCAGTGTTCGTTTGCTATTCAAAGCACTCGAACAACATCCACAATGTACCGTGCGCTACGTGGATGAATATCGAACAACAAAATTATGTAGCCGTTGCTTTAATGTACTGGAAAATGGTTCGAGGAATGGCCGAAAGACAACGAAATCTCGGTTCAAAGTGTGTCGCCAGTGTAAACCATCGCCAGAAGCACTGCCCGATGGTGGTTCATTCATTTACAGCCACAAGAATTCGAAACAATTGAAGAAGCAGAAAAAATATCGACCACGGTATTCGAACGAAGATGACCGCCAGCCAAAAGTCGAACTGAAACGCTTCAATATGATCGATGGAATGCTTGTGCCGGCTGCTGAAAATGCTGCGATATTATCAGTGAAGAGGCCACGAACACATTTGCGACGTCGGCGCCTAGATGTCATCGCATGGAAATACATACGAAATGATGATGATATTGGTGATACGACAAAAGTCCGTTCGGTTACATTGAATCGAGACACTAATGCCGGTCGAAATATTCGACTTCGCGGTATGTTTACAGTGAATCACTAATATTCAATTTTCATCATATATGTATTTAGGTCATCATGAACTATTTGGAATAAAATTGCCAGATGCATTCACAGTCGATGCCAAGATACAAGATCAACATGCAGAGCGACGCTTCAAACAATTTGAAGAAAATAAGCGTAAAAAGCAACAAAAGGTGAGCTGCATTATTTGTTGAATACAATTTTTGAATACATGTAATGTGTAATGTGAATTTGATTATTTTGTTTACATTTCAGTATCAAACATCAAAAAATTCCAATGAAGCTGAATACGATTCGGATCAGTCATGGTGGTCGTCAAGCAGCGAAGAAGATGCAATCGATTTGAGCAACAGTGAATTGTCAGACAACAGTGATGATAGTAATGATAGCGGTAGCGGTAGCGACGACGATGGCGAAAACTGAGAATAGCATCGTTCACAGACTACACATCGCTCATTCAACAAATCAACAATCAATCAATCAAACAAATTAATGAAAAATTAAATTTAGTTTAATTTAAAGAACAATGTTAATAGTTCTTATCATGAAGTCTGGCTATATATTTAGCGTGGACTTTCGTATTATCTAACCGTTAGTATAAATTAATAATTTTATTTTTAAGTAAATTTATTTTGAATTTCAATTACATGTAAAAAACACAGAGTTCCACTTTTACGGATTTTTATTTAACTAAAACAGCCTCATCCCACGGTCCATGAATGTTGTTTTTGTATTTTTGGGCATAGCAAAAAATGAATGGATAAATCATACCACAAAAGAAACTAACCATAAAGTTGATAAAAAATAAATTAGGTGAAATCATCAGCAGGCCAAAACTTGAAGCGGATACAAATATGGCGACAGGTATCAGCAATAAGTAAAACTTTGAATGCGATTCTAATAGACATATTAGATGAGGATAAACAGCAAAAAGCGTAAATGACACAATAAGAAGCACAAACGCATCTAGTGATGTATTGAGTCGAGATGCTAAGCATATAGTTCCAAATATTGCAGCATTTAAAGATATTGCACGTGATACTAATGCTGCAGGCATACCATAGTCATAACAAACTATATGTAAAAGGAATACGAAAAATGTAATTGTATATATGGTATCGGTGCTAATGCCTGATTCATTGAGGGGTGATCAGAAGAAAGAAGGGAAAAAAATGGAAATTAATCAATGGAAGTTATGGAAGTAAAGAAAAGAAAGTATATACTTTACTTTTGGTTAACGTATGCAACATTGGTGATAAAATAAATCCGAAGACTAGAACACATGTAACTGTTTTTGTGTCATCTCTTATTGTTTCCAAATAGCCGCCACACGATCGGGGTCCATTCCATAATATAAAACAAATATAGCAGCTACAACAAATACAAAATACCACCAACAAAAGGCTTGCCGCCGTAATATACGAGGGACGAACATAAAGATTATGAAATACTAGCAAAAATACGGCAATCAATGAAAATTGATGAATTAACTTTGTGGCGCCCAGCACAGCTTCCAGATAATTAAAAAATTCCACATTTTTGTTCTTCTGTAAGTCTTTCAAAAACATTGAATCCGTGTAGTTGTCAAAATAGCTCCGGTTGCCATATAATGTCTTTTGCCATGACTTTTTTGGATGAAGCTGCGATACGGGCATTTTCTGAATTTGTCGATTCACTGAATTTCGAAACAGCATTTATTTTCTATAATAATGGAAAACAACTATTGTTTTTGTATATAGACATAGTAATGGTTAGTTTACATTACTTAGTGTCATTGAACGCACTATTTAGGTATATATGCTGACATTTCATAATTAACACAGGAGTGTATAACATTCAGTGTAATAAAAAGATAGGACGTACATAACATTAAAATATTTATCTTTTTTTTAAATGGCGGATAATTTTGGAATTCATCGTGGTACACCAACTCCACAAGCTTCGAGCTCATCACGGATTCAAACAACTAATCCAACCTCATCAACATCATCGACAGTAACAAGAACTAGTGGCGGAACTTCAGCAATTCAAGATGATCGCACACAAGGACAAATTCTAAGCGATTTTCTTCACCAGTTAGAAGATTACACGCCAACAATTCCAGATGCAGTTACGGCTTATTTCTGTCAAACAGCCGGTTTTGAAGCATCTGATCCACGTATTGTTCGTTTAATATCAGTTGCAGCGCAAAAGTTTGTTTCAGATGTTGCGAATGACGCTCTTCAACATTGTAAGACAAGAACAAGTATGTATTTAATATTTGTATTCAATTTTTGTAACTTATTTATTTACTTTTTACGCAAAAATTAAATTACTTTCCCATTACTCTACAATGTCTGATCCATTTATTTGATTCTATTTCCATTCTGTTCCATTACCTATTGATCAATTTCCATTTTTCCATTCTTTTCTTCTGATCAACTTTAGGTAATGCTGGTTCACATGGTTCAAAAAATCAAAAAACACAAAACAATAAAGATCGCAAGTACACACTAACAATGGAAGACTTAGCTCCGGCTCTGAGTGATTATGGAATCACTGTTCGTAAAGCACATTACTTCGTCTAAATAGTTTCAAAGTTACTCATATAAAAAAATTGACTATCTAGTCAGTCGTTTATTTTGAGTTATGTGAGAGTTATGAAAATAATGAGACGATTAAAGTTTTCAAAATAGCTAGTACGAAAAGCATCTCAAATCGAATAAATTCGACTGACATGATTGGAATCCATTTAAAGATTGATTTACAACTACCATGATAATTTATTAATTAAAAAATGTGTAGATGAAAAAAAATGTACGTTTTATTTATGTTTTATGGTTTCCATATTTTATTCACCGCTAAGCGTAAATTAATAAAATATTTTTTTTTTTGCCTATAAAAATAGTGTTTGATGATTTTACCTGTAGATTTGTTAAGCGTCACATAAAATTAAAATAAAGTAATATTCGGACCTGGAATTGAACATTCGTAAACATCATGATTTGAATTTTGCACCGTTTCATTATAGTCATCATCATTCGTTTCGTTCATTCATTCATTCTATCATTTTCAACAGCATAATAAACTTCCATATTTAGATTCTAATTTCACAGCTTAAAATGAATGGATGATCAGTTATTCAAGACCACATTCACTGTGTTTACGATGGTTCTCAGTGTTCAGCAAAGTTCGTCTTCATGAATGCATTCGATTCAAATTGAGCAAAATGGTGGAGGTTCGTTGTCACATGTTTGTAAAGTCAAGTACCAAGTAGCGAATTAAATCAATTGTAGTGGTTTGGCATGTCGTGCGTAATTATTTCGTTAATTTTTGTTTTTTTTTATTTAAATATTTTTGGATCGTTGCGATAAAGTTGAATTAATACGAGAAGGAAAAAAGACAAATAAATGAAATCATAAGAAAAATTCACAAAGAACAACGCATTTGAGTGTAAAATTTATGTCGGTGTCAAAAGCATGAAAAAAGTCACCAGAAAAAATTGTCATTTTTAGATGAAAATAATCGTATTTGAAGACATACCACCAAGCAGACATGGAAGAACATCCCATTATTTTGGGCCTAATCATCGTATCGCTTTCTCTTTGCATCTCTAGGCTCTTCAGCTTCCATTACCTATTTAATGAAAATTAATCAATAAATATTATTATTATTATTATTATTATTATTATTATTATTATTATTATTA